TTGTGTGATGTTGGCACATTGCATGGTTTGAAAGTGATGGCAGTGATGCTGGGGTCCCAAAACAAGCCCCACATGCCAGCTGGACCCTGGCCAGCAACATATGCACAGCTTTAGGGCCGGAGTGGAGCCTGGATCCAGTCTCTGGGGAGCCTTGTTAACTTTGCCACCAATGTAAACTTTCAGTAAGTCCCAGGGAGGTGACCTACTCCAGGCAGGGCAGGTTCCCAATCCACTCCTTTCTCCCTTCTCCTCCTCTCCATTCTCCCCAAAATCTGTGCTCCCCCCTTCACTTCCCCTCCTCCTATCTCTCCTCCCATCATTTCCCCATCCTCCAGGGCTCAGGGCTGGACACACACCCCTCGTGGATCACAGACACTCTGAGCGGCACTGGACACCATAGTCAATAATGTGGAATCACTACCTATTCCTGTGGTCTTTCAACCCTCTGGTTAAAGAGGATCTCGGTGTGGAGCTGGCTAGTCTTAACACCCAGCACTTGTCAAGTATCTTTGAATACACAGGACACTGACATCAAAGCTGAGATTTTTTTCAGGCACCCCGTCAGCCAGAATTCCAAGACATTTCATTTTCACAGTGTTTATATTTCCCGTGAATCTTCTAATGACAAAGGGTAGGCTTTTGCATTTATGGCCCATTTGAAGATAATTTGGAAAACTCAGCACTGGCCACAGGGCTGGAAAAGGTCAGTTTTCATTCCAAGCCCAAAGAAAGGCAATCCCAAAGAATGCTCAAACTACAGCACAATTGCACTCATCTCACACACTAATAAAGTAATGCTCAAAATTCTCCAAGCCAAGCTTCAACAGTTTGAGAACTGTGAACTTCCAGATGTTCAACCTGGATTTAGAAAAGGCAGAGGAACCAGACAGCAAATTGCCAACATCCGCTGGATCATCAAAAAAGCAAGAGAGTTCCAGAAAAACATCCAATTCTGCTTTATTGACTATGCCAAAGCCTTTGACTGTGTGGACTACAACAAACTGTAGAAAATTCTCCAAGAGATGGGAGTACCAGACAATATGACCTGTCTCTTGAGAAACCTGTATGCAGGTCAGGAGGCAACAGTTAGAACTGGACATGGAACAACAGACTGGTTCCAAATTGGGAAAGGAGTATGCCAAGGCCGTATATTGTCATCCTGCTTATTTAACTTATATGTAGAGCACATCATGAGAAATGCTGGGCTGGAGGAAGCACAAGCTGGAATCAAGATTGCCAGGAGAAATATCAATAATCTCACATATGCAGATGACACCACCCTTATGGCAGAAAGCGAAGAAGAACTAGTCTCTTGATGAAAGTGAAAGAGGAGAATGAAAAAGCTGGCTTAAAGCTCAGCATTCAGAAAACTAAGATCATAGCATCTGGTCCCATCACTTCATGGCAAATAGATGGGGAAACAGTGGAAACAGTGTCAGACTTTATTTTTTTAGGCTCCAAAATCACTGCAGATAGTGACTGCAGCCATGAAATTAAAAAAACACTTGCTCCTTGAAAGGAAGGTTATGACCAATTTAGACAGCATATTAAAAAGCAGAGACATTACTTTGCCAACAAAGATTTGTCTAGTCAAGGCTATGGTTTTTCCAGTGGTCATGTGTGGATGTGAGAGTTGGACTATAAAGAAAGCTGAGTGCCAAAGAATTGATGCTTTTGAACTGTGGTGTTGCAGAAGACTCTTGAGAGTCCCTTGGACTGCAAGGAGATCCAACCAGTCCATCCTAAAGGACATCAGTCCTTGGTGTTTATTGGAAGGACTGATACTGAAGCTGAAACTCCAATACTTTGGCCACCTGATACGAAGAACTGACTCATCTAAAAAGACCCTGATGCTGGGAAAGATTGAAGGCAGGAAGAGAGGGGGACAACAGAAGATGAGATCGTTGGATGGCATGACCAACTCAGTGGACATGAATTTGAGTAAACTCCGGGAGCTGGTTATGGACAGGGAAGCTGGCGTGCTGCAGTCTATGGGGTCACAAAGAGTCAGACACAACTGAGTGACTGAATTGAACTGAACTGAAGTTAATTGCATTTAAGCTAAAAAGGAAGCTAATTTAAAGAAAATAAGTGATCAGCTGTAAAACATAGCTTGACTATATTCTGACTTCTAGTTTACAAGTATCTCATCTACTAATGTTAACAATTTTAGGTTTTAATAAAACTATAGTGTCTGTGGCAATCATTTTGCAATGCATAGAATCACTATGTTGTGCACCATAATTAATGGAGCACTGTAGGTTAATACTACTTCAAAAAATATTAAAAAATATATTGTAGGTTTCAAAGGTCAATAAAATTTGGGGAATACTGAGTTAAAAAATGATGATGATGATGTAGCTGCTATGTTGATGTCTTTTTTGTGCCAGACACTGTACTATGTTTCACATGCATTTTTTTTCACCTAGTTCCCCCACTTAATGTGGGTTGTACTATTATTATCTGCACTTAGGAAGAAAATGAAGTATCAGGAGTTAAAAAACTTGCCCAGGCCCCAGAAATACTGGGGGTAGAATGGGGATCCAATCCCAAGGTTTCCTGCCGAAGCTCACACCCATGGGTGCTGCTGGAAGGAGATTCTAAGATGAAATGCTTTAGCTCAGGCACCATTTTCAAATACCAGTCACTACCATCTTACCCAGGGCTTCCCAAGTGGCGCTAGTGATAAAGAACCAACCTGCCAGTGCAGGAGATACAACAGATGTTGGTTCAGATCTTGGGTTGGGAAGATCCCCTGGAGGAGGGCATGGCAACCCACTCCAGTATTCTTGCCTGTAGAATCCCATGGGCACGGAAGCCTGGCAGGCTATGGTCCATAGGGTTGCAAAGAGTCAGACACGGCTGAAATAACTCAGCACAGCACACCATCTACCGAGCCAGTGACCAGCCCCCGAGGGCTGTACATCCTTAGTTGATCCTCACAACCACTGCCCTTGAATGTGCTGTTATTCTCCCCACTTTAGAGATGATACCGACTCTCACAGAAGTTAAGTAATATGGGCCTGAACACCCAGTGACCTGGGCCAGATTAGAACCTGAGGCCAGATTAGAACTGTCGGCTCTAACTCCAAAGCCAACATCCTCCCATCCAAGATGATAACAATAACAAGACCCCTGGCCAGCTCTCTGCCCTCCAAGTACCCCATCTCATGCTCCCAACCATCTCAAGAGGAAGGTTCTATGATGTTTCCTGTTTACAGATGAGGAAACCAGGGATCTCAGATGTTGTGGAATTTTGCGAAGCTTAAGGTGCTTCTCTGCTCTTTTATGAATGGTCCCATGATCAGGCAGCAGAGCCTTTGAGGAGACTGTGAGCTCTCCCTGGAGTTTATTTTCTGGGTTGGGCTTTTGAGCATCTATTCCCACCACACGCCCTGCTGTGACTGCTAGAGGTCTGGGACTGGTTGCCAGTGAGGAAGGATGTGGGAAGGGATAGTTAGGGAATTTGGGATGGACATGTACACAGGCTACATTTAAAATGGATAACCAATGAGGACCTGCTGGATAGCACAGGGACCTTTGCTCAGTATTATGTGGCAGCCTGGCTGGGAGGGGAGTCTGGGGGTGAATGGATACACGTATATGTATGGCTGAGTCCCTTTGCTGTTCACCTGAAACTAACCACCTGAAAGTAACTATTGTTAATCAATTATACTCCAATACAAAATAAAATGTTTTTTTAAAAAAAGAAAAAAAAGCTCCCATTACCGCCTCCCCTTCTCCTCCCCTTCATCACTTATTAAGCTTTCATGGCACATGGATTTGACAATGGGGATAATTATAGGCAGGAGGAGAAGGGGACGACAGAGGATGAGATGGTTGGATGGCATCACCGATTCAATGGACATGGGTTTGAGCAAGCTCAGGGAGCTGGTGATGGACAGGGAGGCCTGGCATGCTGCAGTCCATGGGGTCGCAAAGAGTCGGACACGACTGAGCAACTGAACTGATAATTCAAGGTACTCTCAGCGCCAGCTCAGATCCTCTTTGTGGCCTTGCACATCCATTGCCCAGCTTTGTGAATTATGAACTCTGTCTGCTGACGGCCCAGAGCTGCCTCCTTCCCCAGGAACTTGTCCTCACTCAAACAGGAACTATTTTTTCACAAAGACACGCACTCCCAACCTCTTCTGGTAGCTAACGACTGACTCACAGAAGAGCAAGAAAGGCCAACCCTCTTGCCTCAAGGCTACACCCCCTCTGGGTATCATTCAGCCTCCAGACCTGCCAGGACCAGGCTAAGTGGACTTCAGCTGAGACCTCATTCTTGCTTTGCTCCGTCCCCTCCCTCTCGGGCTTCCCTCCCTCTTTTTCCCTCACTAAATCCTGTGCACCCAAATCCTTGTCTCAGGCTCTGCTACTAGGGAGCCCAGCCTGAGACAGGGGAGGATCCAAGATGTTGCATAAGGCAGGCTCCCTGCCCTCAGGGATCTTGTAGTAAAATGTGGAGACAGTCCACCCATGTACATAAAAATCATCCACAGTACAGGATGGAATAGGCTGGAGAGAACAGTGATTTAAAAGATGGGAGAAGGTTTCTGTGCAACACGAAGTTCACAGAGGACAACAAGGGTTGGAAACAGTGGGAACCGCAGGGAGACAGTTCGGAGGAAAAGCTCCAAGAGGTGTAGGACCCTCTGGTTCACCTCTCCTGTCTCCTAGCTGGTGTTTGTGATGAGATGAACCACCCCAGGTCAGCATGGAACAGCGAGATCTCTGTTTTGAAGATCCCAACAACGGGTCTAGCATTGTCCATGAGTGTCCAGGGCTGCCCCAGAGAGCCATGCCAGTAGGCCCTGAGGCCAGAAATGAGTCTGTCACTCTCAAGTTTTCCCTGAAAGGCTGGGGGCCTTGGTGCCCCATAAAGACCTCCTCCTTTCAGAGAAGGGACAGACGTTTCCCATACTACAGGGCTGGTGAGTCGATGGGCTTGAGGATCACTCTGCAAAGGACCACGGGCATGAAAGGTGTCCACATACCTGCCGGACTGCGGGCCTGGGGACTTGTTCACAAAGATTCAAGGATGTAGTAGGCAGCTCCTAGGGCTCCCAGAGCCACAGCAACAGTTCCGAGGGCTCGGAGCACGTGAATTACGATGAGTGGATTGTTTTCTTGAAGGTCTTCTGCAGAGCAAAGCAGAGAACCCATGGGTTGGGGGCTGCTGGGCTTTAGTGCTCATCCCTAGGCAGGGGAAAGTGGAAACCATGGGGCCCCTGAGGATCACAGGAACACCCATCTCCGCGCTAAAGGTCCTCCTCTCAAGGGAACACAGCTCCTTTCACCTCTTTCAATAACACTCCACAAGACTCCCTCCAGGATCCGGGGATGGGCTGGCCGGGATGCCAGCTCCCCTCGACACTCAGAGAGAAGATGACAAGGTGTTTAAGGCCGCCGTGTGTCAGGCCCTGTGCTAAACACCTCCCTCCCACCCAGTGTCCTCCTCAAGCCTCACAATCCACCTGTGGAGGAGTCCTGCCGCGTAGCTCTGTTCTGGAGATTAGGCAACTGAGGAAGCCACATATTACACTCCCACAAAGCAGGTGGGAAAGGAAAGTGTATGATGCTGCTAGTAAGTATGAGGAAAGTGAAAATGAAGTCCCTCAGTCGTGTCTGACTCTTTGCGACCCCACGGACTTTAGCCTACCAGGCTCCTCCGCCCATGGGATTTTCCAGGCAAGAGGACTGGAGTGGGCTGCCATTTCCTTCTCCAGGGGATCTTCCCAACCCAGGGATCGAACCCAGGCCTCCAGCACTGCAGGCAGACATGGAAGGCACTCAGAAAAAGCAGTAGCCATTTGGACAAAAACCCTATTAGAGATTCTTACTTAATATTTAAGCACTTAAAATTTTTTAATTTAAAATAATTTTAAAATAATTAAAATTTTAATTTCATTTAATGTATTTAAAGCCGGAGCCAACACTCCACTCCGCATAGAAATGGAAAGGTTACAGAAGCAGGTGTGAACTTGAGCAGAATTAGGTGCACGCCCGACACCAGCCAGACTAAACCTCGGCCCCTCCCCTTCACGTTCCTATTTCTGAGCCTCGCTTGTGCCTTTTCCTCCACCCGGGATCCTTCCCCTTTAAAATAGGCCGTGTGTGTGTGTGTGTGTGTGTGTGTGTGTGTGTGTGTACGCGCATGTGTATGCGTGTGCTCAAGGATCCTAAAGCCCTTCCAGATTCAGCTCAGATATGACTGATACTACAGCATCCACCTGGACCCCAGCTCAGAAGTAAAGCTCTTTGAACATCTCTTTTGGGACACAGATCACTTCCTGGTTTGCATCGGAGTTTCTAGATGCATGTCTTAGCTTACCATGTAGAAAGTGAAAGTGAAAGTCTCTCAGTCTTGGGCGACTCTTCGCGACCCCATGGGCTGTACAGTTCATGGAGTTCTCCAGGCCAGAATACTGGAGTGGGTAGCCGTTCCCTTTTCCAGGGGATCTTCCCAACCCAGGGGTTGAACCCAGGTCTCCCGCATTGCAGGCAAATGCTTTACCAGCTTAGCTACCGGGGAAGCCCATGACCCGCTGAGGCCGAGGGCAATTTCATAAACAGAGAGATGAGTGAACCACCGGTCCCTGGGGCAAAGGAAGCGGGCAGTCAGGGCCCTGGCCTTGCGGGGAGGGGAGGTGGGCCTTTCCCCTTGGTCTGGTGGCCACGGAAGGAGCAGAGTCAGATGCCCTGTGGACGGCACAGTTTGTAAGGGTGAAGTTCCTGGTTCAGGTTTTCCTCCCCGTGCCTAGCATCCTGTGCAGAGGAGGCTTCCTACTTGGTGCTTTGCGAATCCATGGTGCTCCTTGGCACCAGATGGATGAATGTTCTGAGTGGAAAGACAGCTGATCATGGCATTGGGTGGGGGGGGCAGGCCCTTCCTAGCCAGGACTTACCAGGTAGCAGAGCATTTTAGTGCTGGCATGTTCTCCCAACACACCTGGGTATCTGTTTGCCTCGCTTCACAAGGCTGAGAGATGCTGATTTTCAAGAATGTATACAACAGAGGGGAGTTGGCCGGGCAGGGGCGGGAAGAGGAGTAGAATGGAGATGGGGGTGGGTGGGCTCTGCTTTAGGGGGGTGATGCCCAGGTGGAAGACATTTCCTGTGGACATGTGTGAGATCTGAGTATAAGTGGGGCTGCCCTGGGTCCCAGAGCTGGGGGGATGCAGAGGTCCTGCTCCAGCCCTTGGACGTAGCCCTGCGCCACTGCCAAAGCCACTGGAGAAGCTCCCTGGACAGGTGTCTTCCCACCAGGGGAGTGGCAGCCGCCCGGGGGCTTCGTGGGAGAGGAAGAGAAGGGTGAGGCGGCGGGGGCCACTGGGTCAGGGACAGACCCCTGTGGGGCGGCCAGGAATAGCCTGAGACCTGCTGAAGGAGGGGGAGCACTTCCTCTCACCAAGGGGTATGTGACTTACAGTCACATGTATCTCTAAATTCTGGGCGACGTTCACATGCCGGTCAAGAATGGGAAGCTTTCGGCTGTGGCACAGGCCACGGAAAGAGGCGGTGGCCTGACAGAGCATTTACTCACCAAGCTTCTGAGTGACAGGGAGCTTATGACGGAGGGGCTGTGGGAGAGTGTGCTCTGAAGCAAAGAAAAATGAACCCCCAAAGGAGAAAATCGGCACCTCTCTGTGTAAGTGGGTCTGGGCAGAAAAGGCCAGAAGCCCCACCGGAGGAAGCAGCTTTCCTTGGGGTCCTGGAGTCCCCTGAGGAGGCTGAGTGCACGCATGTGCATGCTGAGTCACTTTGGTCGTTTCTGACTCTTTGCGACCCTGGGGACCGCAGCCTGCCAGGCTCCTCTGTCCACAGGACTGCAAATATGAGGTGGCCCAAGGTCCAGAACCCCCCCTACGGGCTGCAGAACCTGTAAAAGGTGAGGAGGTTTGGGAATCCTCTCCCTGGCATGGTCGGCCAGGCCCGAGGCAGAAGGACATCGAAGATGCGGCTGTGGCAGAGGCCCAGACGACGCCAGCAAGCAGAGCTGCCAGGGCAAACGGAACAGGAACAAAATGCCCGCGGGCCCACTCGAACCAGAGGCCCTGCTGGAAAGAGAAGGAGAGAGGTGAGGGGCCCACTGCTGCAGGAGGTGTCCACGCGAGGAGCAGTGGCCTGTGTAGAGGAGAGAGGAACGACTGCTTGGGGAAATAATGCATGCTACCTGGGAATAACACCGAGAACACCCCTGTAATAGCTCACACGTGGACAGTGCTCTGTATGGCATTATCCATCGCATCTCTTTATCAGCAATCCTGGGATGGAGAATATTGTTATCCTCAGCTTACAAATAAGGAGACTGAGGCTCAAAGAATATCGAAGATGTGCTCTGATAGTAAGGAGATGGAAAAACTGGGCTTCAGCTCAGGATTACTAACTCGCAATTTGGGCCTCTTTCCACGGAATTTGAGGGAAGGGATGGAAGCAAAGGACTGCCCATCCTAGGAGAGGTGGCATTGACATTCCTGCAACCGGAGGGGCCACGTTCCATTTATCTGGAGCTCACCAATTCATCCAGAAGACAACTACTCCAGTGGACCATCTTTGAGATCCTTTCCTATGCTCATCTCCCCTTGCGGATCCCAGAGGAACTTGGAGACAGCGCCCTCTGCTGTTTTGCAAGAGGACTTCTGGCTAGATCATTCCCTCCTGTAACTACTTCTGCCTTGGCTCCCCCTTCCTTTTTTATATTTTTTAAAATATATATTTGGCTGCACTGGGTCTTAGTTGCAGCATGCAGGATCTTTGATCATTGTTGTGGCATGTGAGATCTTTAGTTGTGGCATGCGAACTCTTAGTTGAGGCATGTGGAATCTAGCTCCCTGGTCAAGGATCGAACCCAGGCCCCCTACATTGGGAGCTCAGAATCTTAGCCACTGGATCACCAGGGAATTCCCTGTCTTGGCTTCTTGACTGAGCTGCCAACCTTAAAGCCCAAGAAGCTAGTGATCAACACCCATTCTGCTTAGACTTGCCCCAGACAGAAACTTTTCCTGGAAAGGGGAGGGACAGGATTCTAAAGATAAGACTTATCTTTTTTTCCTTTTAAAAAATTGGGAAAAAACAAACCAGACATACAATTTCCATTCCACAAAGTTTACCCCTTTGAAGCATTCAGTGGCTTTCAGTTTATTCATGAATGTATGCAACCACCATCACTAATTCTAAACTTTTCCATCTTCCCCCAAGCCCATTAGCAGCCCTGCCTATTCTCTACTCCCTGCAGTTCTGGGCAATAGATTTGTCTACTGTGGACATTTCATAAATGGAATCGTACAATACGTGGGCTTTCTCGAGACTGCCTTCTCTCACTTAGACTAATGTGTCTGAGGTTCATCTGTGTTGCAGCGTGTATCAGCATCTGTCACGTCTTTGATTTTGACTGCACTAGGTCTAGGTTGTGGTGGGAGGGCTTCTGTAGTTGTGTGTGGGCTCCAGAGCATGCAGGTTCAGTAATTGTGGCACCTGGGCTTAGTTGCCCCAAGATATGTGGGATCTTAGTTTCCCTGACCAGGGATGGAACTTGTGTCCTCTGCACTGGAATTTCGATTCTTAACAGCTGGACCACCAGGGGAGTCCCCATCATCTCTTCTTATTGCCAACTAGTATTTCATTGCACGGATGTACCATGTGTTGTTTATCCATTCATCATTTGATGGTCATTGAGCTGTTTCCACTTTTCGGCTATGATGAATAATGCTGCTGTTTTAGTTCTGGTGTGGATGTATGTCTTTAATTCTCTTAGGTATATACTCAGATCAGGAATTGCTGGATCAGACGGCAACTTCATGTTTAACCCTTCGAGGGTTAAACAGTTTTTCACGGCAGTTTTCCAGACAGTTTTCCATGGCAGTTTTGCCATTTTACATTCCCACCAGCAGTGTGAGAAGGTTTTGACTTCCCCACACCCTCACTGAGGCTTGAAATTGTCCGTCTTCTTGATTACAGACATTCTTGTGGAAGACTTGAATTTTCTTGAGCTACAGTATTCCCTTCATATGAAAAGATTTGTATTTTAGAATATGGCATCCTCTATTTAAAAGTCCTCATCCCTTATCACCAACCTTCCTTCCCACTCTGGCTCCAAGGGAAACAATTCTTCCTTTGGCAGAAGAAGAGTGGGCGTCCACTGTAACCACGGATGAGCCTCACCGGTTCCCACTTTGCCTCTGTCACAAACAGAATACCAACGTGGGGGTGAGCCACACGCATTCATGAAAAGATGTGCAAATAGAAAGTCTCGTGTTCTACAGATCAGTTCTCAAGGCCATAATCCAGAAAGGTTTATCTCAGTGGTTGATGATTATCAGTTCAGTTCAGTCACTCAGTCATGTCCGACTCTTTGTGACCCCTTGGACTGCAGCACACCAGGCTTCCCTGTCCATCACCATCTCCCGGAGTTTACTCAAACTCATGTCCTTCGAATTGATGGTGCCATCCAACCATCTCATCCTCTGTCGTCCCCTTCTCCTCCTGCCTTCAATCTTTCCCAGCGTCAGGGTCATTTCCAGTGAGTCAGTTCTTTGCATCAGGTGGCCAAAGTATTGGAGTTTCAGCTTCAGCATCAGTCCTTCCAATGAATATTCAGGACTGATCTCCTTTAGGATGGACTGGTTGGATCTCCTTGCAGTCCAAGGGACTCTCTCAAGAGTCTTCTCCAACACCACAGTTCAAAAGCATCAGTTCTTTGGCACTCAGCTTTCTTTATAGTCCAACTCTCACATCCATATATGACTACTGGAAAAAGCAGAGCTTTGACTAGATGGACCTTTGTTGGCAAAGTAACGTCTCTGATCATAACATATAAATATTTAGTATCATACTCAAAACATTTCCGTATGTTAATGGATTGATCCCTAGCCACAGAAATATCGTCGTCACAGCCATACTTGGATTTAGGACTCACCCTTACTCCTCTCATTTATTTTATGTCCACACCATCTGAGAGGGAAAACTGCGGCCCTGGAAGTGTGGTGGGCTCAGGACCACAGAGTCACGGGCACTGACTCAAGATGGATACAGAACCTCAGAAAGGATGTTCTTCCTCCTGGGCAGATTACCAGAACTTTGAGGATTGGAAGATCATTGCTGCAGTTGAGGGAGGATTCTAAAGTCAGAATAGACTGAAGTTCCCCTCTTAGTGCTACCAGCACCTGCATGAGAGGCAGTTGTTACATTTGCTTGAGCCTCAGTTTCCCCATCCATAAAATGGAGATGATACTAAATATCTCCTTTATAAGACTGTGAAATAAGATCACTTGGCTGAGTAGAATGTCAGGTACACAGTAAGTGCTCAGTGATAAATGTTAGCTATTACCATTATTTGTAGCGTGGTATAACCAGACCGCCTCCTGAACTCTGTTCGAGTTCTCTCAACACAATCCCATGCTCATTCAGACTCTGGCTACCCAAGAAGATGGGGGACCACTTTCTCTGGACCGCCATTCTATTTTCAGACAGAACTAATCGTTGGATACTTTTTAAAGTTGAGCAGAAATCTACCTTCTACAGTGCCTTCCATGGATGAGTTGTCAGATTTAGCAAATAAAAATATAGGATGCCTGTGCAATATTCAGGACACACATATTATTTATCTGAAATTTGACAGGGTGGCCTGTATTTTATCTGGCAACCCTATCCACGGGCCCTTAGTCGGACATCTGAGAACAACATAGAACAAATCTACTCAAATCTTCCAGCTGACAGACAGATAACCTTCAGCTCCCTCAACCAATTCTCCTACACCGGAAGGCTCTTGCTTCCCCGGATCCTGCTCAGCTCCCCAACGTGGACTGTCTTCCTTGGACTAGATTGTTAGGCATCATTTACGCACACAGACAGCCCGATGAGGACAGAGTAAAGCAGCAGGACCGCTCCCTTGTCCTTCACTGGATTCTTCTATTAATGCAGCCCTGGTGTTTATTTGGGTATGTATGGCTCCCAAGGAGCTAGTACTACCACCGAGCCATGACCAATGTTAATCTGTCTGAATACCCTGAGGCTGTCTTTAGAGAGACTCAGCATGGTGAGGAGTGACAAAACCCAGGAATCCTGGTCTCGGGTAAAAAAATGAACCCCAAACCCTTCACCCTCACCCTCACCCACACACTCCCCACTGCACAGCTCCAGAACATATTATCCATACATCACAACCCAATCAGAAGGGTTATCAGCTTCTGGGGCAGCCCTGGGATCCATCAGCAGAAAGCCTAGAACCACTTGAGCAAGAAGGCCGCCCACCTGCTTTCCTGGACTGAGAGGATGCTTTGGGGTTGGGGTCTGGAGACACGATGTCCCGAGCCGAGTGGCTGTGGCTGACTTCTGGAGCTGGGAGGGCTCGGGGTGCAGACTGCGGGGGGGTAGAGTTGCCGCTGGGCTGTGAGGTGCTCCCCGAGCTGGGCTGCTGCGTGGTGAGCCCCGGGCTGGGGGGCTGTGGGGCGGGCGCTGGGTTGGGCATCTGGGTGGCCGACCCCGGGTTGGGCAGCTGCGCGGTGGGCTTGGGGCTGGGTGGCCGCGGGCTGGATCCGGAGACGGGCTGCTGGGAACTGGAGTCTGAGCTCTGCTGCTGGGGGGTGGATTCGGAGCTGGTGCGCTGGGAGGTGGAGCCCCGGCGCCTGGTTTCTGACTTCTTCCTCTTGCCCTTCTTCATGGTGGATCCTCCTGACCTAAGCGTGTACCTACATGGAGCTGCCTAATGTCCCGGCTCCCTCGCCGAGGGGCCGTGTGCCCCTGCCCTGGGGGAAGGCTCTGGCGTCTGTCTGGGCCCAGGCCCTGAAGCAGAGTCACCCACCCACCTCCTGTGAGGTCACAAAAGCCAGGGTGGCTCCCATGGCAGGGGCTCTGAGGACAGTCTTCTCTGCCGACACCCATCTGCTGCCCTCCGTCCTCCTTGGCTCCTGGAGGTGTCCGCAGACCTGGGCACCTGGTTAAGCCTGGCCATGGAGCCTGTGGCAACTTGAACCCTGCGATTCTGCAAACTGAGACCCTCCTTCGGGGACCTGCCTGCTGGTGTGTCCTTGGGTCTCTCTACACTATTCCTCTCCAAGACACCCTGGCTAAGACGCTTGCTCTATCACTGGTTTTCACGTACCCCCCACCCTGTCCAAACGAACCACTTCACCATGCATTTCGTGAATTTTTGGTAACTAAAGATTTGAGGGCCCGTGGAAGATCTACAGCCTTTTACTGTCTCGCTGTCTGCTTCCCCACACCAGATTATCCCGTTTGGAGTGGCTTCCCCCTTCTCCCAAAGTCGGCTCTTCTCACTGTGGGAAAGGATTGGGGGAGGGGTTCCCCAACTTTGATAAGAAACATTGCAACGGGGAAAAGAATTTCCACAAAAACATAACAGCTGTTTGGAAAAATAAACTTTCCTGAAACTCATTACACTGACAACAGTAGTTGCTGTTGATCAGTCGCTCAGTTGTGTCTGGCTCTTTGTGACCCCATGGACAGTAGCATGCCAAGCCTCCCTCTCCTTCACCATCTCCTGGAGTTTGTTCAAACTTAGGTCCATTGAGTCGGTGATGCCATCCAACCATCGCATCCTCTGTCATCCCCTTTTCCTCTTGCCCTCAGTCTTTCCCAGCATCAGGGCCTTTTCCAATGAGTCGGCTCTTCACATCAGGTGGCCAAAGTATTGGAGCTTCAGCTTTAGCAAAAGTCCTTCCAATGAATGTTTGGGGTTGATTTCCTTTAGGATTAACTGGTTTGATCTCCTTACTGTCCAAGGGACTCTCAAGAGTCTTCTCCAACAGCACAGTTCAAAGGCATCAATTCTTCAGTACGCAGCCTTCTTCATGGTCCAACTCTCACACCTATACATGACTACTGGAAAAACCATAGCTTTGACTCTACGGAAGTTTGTCAGCAAAGTGATGTCTCTGCTTTTTAATATGCTGTCTAGGTTTGTCATAGCTTTCCATCCAAGGAGCTAGCGTCTTTTAATTTCATGGCTGCAGTCACCATCCACAGTGATTTTGGAGCCCAAGAAGATAAAATCTGTCACTGTTTCCACTTTTTCCCTATCTGTCATGAAGTGATGGGTCTGGATGCTATGATCTTAGACTTCTGAATGTTGAGTTTTAAGCCAACATTTTCATTCTCTTCTTTCAACCTCATCAAGAGGCTCTTTAGTTCTTTTTCACTTTCTGCCATTAGAGTGGTATCTGCATAACTGTGCTTGTTGATATTTCTCCCAGCAATCTTGATTCCAACTTGTGATTCATCCAGCCCAGCACTTCACATGAGATATTCTGCATAGAAGTTAAGTAAGCAGAGTGATAATATACAGCTTTGACATATTCCTTTCCTGAGTTTGAACCAGTGCATTGTTCCATGTCCAGTTCTCACTGTTGCTTCTTGATCTGCATACAGGTTTCTCAGAGGCAGGTAAGGTGGTCAGGTAGTCTCATCTCTTTAAGAATTTTCCACAGTTTGCTGTGATTCACACAGTCTGACCATCTCTCAGACTCCCAACTTGTGCCAGTTAGGACACTGTGACTCTTTATTGAAGTTAACAATGTGATCTTCATTTTAGGACAGAAGAGGAAACAGGATTTTAAAAAGACAACCTTAAACTTCACACTTGGATTGCAACACAGAACATGTTCACAGTAGGAGACTCTGCCATTAATGCATCACTAGGTGAGTGAGTTTTCAACTGTTGACCTCGAGAGTCTGGAGGCTGATAATCTTGCCCCAGGATACGATTTAGGGTAGACCTTTTACGGTTTAGGGAGAACCCCTATGTAAGGTCAGACTTGACATGAAATATAAAATGACAGGAAATATTTTAAGGATTCTAGAGCCTGAAAACACCTTAATGATTCTCTTTTTGCAAAAGAGAAACTGAGGTTCAGAGAAGTTAAATTACCTTCCCAAGGTCACACAGCCGGTTGGAGGCATCAGTAAGTCCCATTCAAGGCTCTTTCTCTTAGGGAGTCAGATAATTATACAAGGCTTAAAATTAATGAATTTTAAAATTCCAGGATAGGATTAATAAAAACAAAGGCACGAACGATTAGAAATGAAAGGAAGCTCAGATCAATAAAGCTGGGCTGAATCTGGTTGACCCTAGGTGTAAGGAGGTGCACAGAACAGGTGAGTCTGCAAGAAGGTGGTAATCCCCTGAAGTCAAGAGCAATGGATCTCTCAGCAGGGGATTCAATTTAGAATCAGAGAGACTGGAGACCTGAGTCAGGAACCCTATCCTGATTTAGCAGTCAAGTCAGGAACTTCTAAGGCATTTATCTCTGCAAAATTTGATTTTCAGGCACTGATGGGCTTTTGGCTGAGGGCCTCAACTTGGTTTATACCATCGTTTCTAAATCTCAGCCCTATTGACATTTTGGGTGAGAAAATTCTTTGTTGGGAGGCTGTCCTTCACTGGAAGTGGTTTAGCAACATCCGTGGCTTCTGCCCATGAGATAACAGTAGCCACCATCCTTCTGCCCAAGTGGTGACAACCCAAAATGTCTACCAACATTGCTAAATGTCCCCGGGATGTGGTGTGTGTGTGAGAGAGAGAGGGGTGGGGGGAGGGGAAGAGAGAGAGAGACTGGGCATGAAAAATTGCCCCTGGTTGAGAACCACTGGTTTAAGTGAATTAGAGATGGGTAGACACATATGGGTGGGCTTCCTGCGTCGCTCAGTGGTAAAGAATCTGCCTGCCAATCAGGAGATCTGGGTTTGTTCCCTGGGCCGAGAAGTTCCCCTGGAGAAGGAAATGGCAACCCGCTCCAGTGTTCTTGCCTGGAGAATCCCATGGACAGAGGAGCCTGGCGGGCTACAGTTACAAAGAGTCAGACATGACTTAGCAACTAAACAGCGACAGCAAACAGACACATACGGGTAGCATTTCCTGGTAGCAATGAAAGAAACATTCCATTTCACATCAAAAAGCCGAAGAGAGCACAGAAAACAAATCCCTGTACCCCGGGAGAGTGATGAAGGGAACACAGAGGGTCAGACTTTGGGAGAAGTGAGGAGTCTTCCTATGGCCATGGAGAAAATAGCAAGGAGGTCCCAAGAAGCAGGGTGATGGCGCCTGTGGAGTAAGAGGTTGCTCCAGAAGGGTGTGGAAGGATAGCACTACTGCTAAAACATCTTCCACTCTGCCTGCGGGCCTGAGCACACATTCCAAGCCCAGAAGTCTGACTCTACAACACGTGACTCTGTAACAGTGAGTCACAACTCATTGTCCCAGGCTCATCGGCTATCTTGCTGCTACCCACGTCCAGTTCCAGCTGCTGGTGAGCCCCGGAGGTCTAGGAACACTTTCTTGCATTTGTGGAAGCATTTCCCCCTCACTTGAGCCCCTCTCCCTCTCAGAACACTTCCCAACATCAAGATCCACCTCAAGTGGAAGTGGATCCCAAGTCTTTCTTGGGATCCCCAATGAGAAGTGATTTCTCTCCCTCTGAGTCCCAGGTCACATTCTATGTGGTGTGAGAACAATTTCTATGCTTGTCTTCTCTTGAGTTCGCCACTCCCGGGCTGTGGAGACCGAGGAGGGCCAGAGTCCAGAGAACGGGCTCAACAAGCTGCTTGATGGTGACGGTAGGAGGACAAAGAACACAGGGAATGCTGACAGCAGGGTGGGCATGGCTGATGGGGGACAAGGCACCTGGGACTGCATCACCAAGAGCTTGTTTTCAAAGATGGAGTGGGCTTTTCTGGACTTGCCTGAGGATCCCTGTTGGAACAGTCCCCAGGCAAAAGGCTTTCTTAGGCAGGCAAGCCGGCCATGGGAAAACCTCGTGGACTATTTAGGAGAGGGAGGAGAATGGGCCTAAAGGGATGCAGCGAGGTGGTCAGGACGAGGTCCTGAGCAGAAGGTCCCTGATGCTGCTGGCCCTCTGGGTGCATTTGGGACACCCAGATCAGGCAGTCACCATTTGTCCCGAAACTAGCATCTTAGAGCTGGAGGGCACCACAGACGCCAACTGACCCTTCACCCCCACATGTCAGGAGGGCAGCTAATCAGCAAGAGGGGACAACTAGCTCTGGTCACCAGCAGAAGGGTGGCAGAGCCTCCAGGATTGGAGCCTTGACTACCTGCCCAGAGCGCCTCCTTCTTCTGGACTGATGCCCCTGGAAGGACTCTGGGAGGCAGAGGCACTAGGTGCTCATTTAAGAGCCCAGAGCCCTCAGACCCATGGATTAACCCATAGGTCTGGAATCCTCCATAGGGTCTTGAGGGCTGGAGGTAAGAATCCTGAATTGAGGGAAGGAGGAGGGTTACTAGGCTAACACAGTGCCTTCCTTGTTGGGTTGTGAGGATTAGTCGTGAAAAGCCCTTAGAACAGCGCCTGGCTCACCACAGGCATGTTTTTATTGTAGTCGTGATTCCTTGGAGAAGACTAAGAAATAGTGGATTTGGAGAGGAGTGGGTGGGCCCGGGAACTGGAGACTCCCAAATGAATCCGTTAGAAAAGTGGGATTGGGAGCAGCCAGCAAGGGGGAAGAGGGTCCAGTGGACCGGTGGGAGGTTTAACTACAAATCAATTCCTACACTTTTGACCAGAGATTGCCTCAGCGAGCGAGACACCTGGTGTGAGAAACCCAGCTCATCTTTACCCAAAACGAAGCAAGTGGAGGCATCAGGAGAGGGACAGCAGCACCGGAAATTTGTCTACCACTTGGGCTTCCCTGGGCTTCCCTTGTAGCACAGTCAGTAATGAATCTGCCTGCAATGCAGGAGACCCGGGTTGGATTCCTGGGTTGGGAAGATCCCCTGGAGAAGGAAATGGCAACCCACTCCAGTAGTCTTGCCTGGTAGGTTCCCAGTCC